CGGCTTGGGACGCTATCGCGTTCCATTGTACAACCGCCGAGCCTTCGTATTTCATCTCGCGTGCGTTCCTACTGGCCCGTGGCCGCCTGTCGTCCACAGGTTGTGTCTGCTGCGGGCAACTCCGTCTCCTGGGCAGGACAATGTGTGGTCAGCGGACCGGCGAGACGCTGGATTGGGATTGATGTATACTGGTCCGTTCGGAAGGCAACGAGGGGCATCGCTGGGATGACGCAGTGAGGTGAGCAGCGTGGGCGAGCGATTGAATTTGAGGTGCGTGTGCATGCCATCACTGAGTTCGTACGTGATGGTGGCTGGAGTGCGGTCATCCGCCACTGCTAGGCTGGGAGTTTGGGCCACCAGGGTGGACGCATGAGACCCCCGCTGCGTACTGCTGGCGAGACGGGCTCTACTCCTTGCCAGAGGAGCGTTGTGCCGCACAGTCGTAGAAGAGCTGTGAGCGCGCGCGCGCGCGCGCTGCGAACCGATTGGGATTCCCGGATCACGAACGGCTGTCTTTGGACGTTCACATGATGGCCACTGACTCATTGGATTCCGCCGAGGCTGCTCATCCTGGCCGTCCACTTGCCTTTGCAGAAAAACGTCCGCAGGCCGATCTCGGACGCACTGTGCGCAGGTCGGATTCCGCACCGAAACAGGCTCCGGGTGCGATGTCTAAAATACTCTTGCGCCCACCCGTGCCATCCCGAGGAGCAAGAGTCTCGTGCGGACTTGCTATGCCCTGCCATTTTTTTTTTTCCCTCTCTCGTAACAGTGCACGGTTACCCGAGCGAATAGAGCAGCGTGCAGCGCCACTGAGGCGCGCTAAATCTGGCAAGCACTGCCTGTATTGTAAAATAGCAGCAATCGAGATTACGATAGCTACAGGAGGGAGGGAGACTTGCACAGAACGCGTACACCACGAGTTGCGCCGCGTTGATGAGACTGGCTGCCGGCGCATACTGCGATGGCCAATTAATCCGTAAATATACCGGCGGGGACCGAAACGGACTTGCATTTTCCCATATCGGGGATGTACTGCTCGGCCTACCCGGCACTTGCAGGCCGGACTTGGCCTAATTATTATTGTCCATGTCAGGTTGGAGGTGACCGATTCTGCTACAGCACAATGAGAAACTTGGGTTGGAGGGTCGAAACTGCTTGAACATGATGGCATCTGGACACTCTGTACACGACAGGATCTCATGCTCCTTGCAGCTGCCAGATCCTTGCAATGAGTCTTGTCAGGCAGCGGCGGTCGTTGAACCAGTGCCCGGGGCATTGTAAGCAGCTAGTGGCAATTGGCCACAAGCTGCCGGATCGGCCGAGTGGCAGACAGATATTATCAAGCAAATCACCCTCGAACCAACAGACGATTCCGGTGGTGTGCTGCAGCCTGCAGGAGTATATTCGAATACGCGCAGTCCGGTCGCAGCGAGGGGCGAGGAAGGGGCGTTGCAGGCTGCTACCGGGGGAAATTGCCACTGCCATTGGGCCCAGCGACGGTGCGGTGGAGAGAATTTGCAAGTGTTAAACTGTAACGTGCGACGGGCGCTCGTGCGACAGTGTTACTTATCCCCCTTCGCGCCGCTGCCGCTGCCGCTCTCCCGCTCAGTCCTGGACAACGATGGCGACGATGGCCCCCATCGTCGACTATCGCGGGCACATATCCCATCCGTTTCTCCAACATCTCGTCGCCCTCCTCTCCGTCTACGAACTCGGCCCTCTCTCCTCCCCCACCCCCAAGTATGACGGCCCCTCCGACTGGCAGACCGACAGCATCCTGCGTTCCCTTGGCGCCATGGCCCGCCGCATGTACACCGCCGAGGAGGCCCTCTCGTCCATCAGAGCCTCCGAAACCTGCGGCCCAGAGTCCAAGAAGAGGCGCAGCGTCGGCGACAGCCCTTCCGTCAGCAGCGCCAGCTCCTCCACCTCCCGCAGCGACCCCGCCGAGTTCAGCAGCTCCATCAATCACACCGCAACCACCTCGTCCCCCTTCTTCGTCGCCACCCCGACGAGCTCCGTAGAGAGTATCCCCAGCACCCTGTCCACCAAGGACATCGACATGGCCGACATCAACGACCTCGACAGCGAGCCCACCCCCTCCGCCCACCACCCCCGCACAGGCCGCTCCTCCAAGCGCACCCCCTCCCCCATGACCATCTCCCTCGACGGCGTCGTCAACCCCCTCGAGTCCCAGTCCGTATACCGATCAGCCGCTAACGGCTCTGTCTCTGCCCCGCCCTCCTCCTACGCCGACCACATCTCGTGCCCGAGCTGCGGCAAGACCATCACCGACACCGCCACCATCTCCAAGGTCACCACTCTCGCCGGCGAGCCCATCAGCTCCCCCCTCGTCGTCCCCCCCGGTCCCCTCGCCGCTGCAGCATTCGAGAGCGGCATGAGCGCCGTCGAGGAGCTCAAGCTCTTAAAGGCACAGGTCCAAGACGTCGCCCGGGTGTGCAACGCCGTCGCGCGCGGCGACTTGTCTCAGAAAATTACGGTCCCCGTTCAGGGTGTAGTCATGGTTCAGCTCAAGGAGGTCATCAACGCTATGGTGGGTGTTTTTTTTTCTTTTTTTTCTTTTCTTTCTTTCACTGTCTCTGTATGCGCGACGCTTCAACGACCCTCCACTAGGTGGACAAATTGGGCCAATTCGCCAAGGAGGTTACTCGTGTCAGCCAGGAAGTCGGAACGGAAGGGTGAGTGGCCTTATGTATGCTTGGCCCCAGGCGGTCGTCTGACCCCTTCCCCTTCCCCTCGCAGTAAACTGGGCGGACAAGCGCTGGTTCTGGACGTCGAAGGTACATGGCGCGAATTGACTGGTGTGGTCAACAAACTGGCGGCAAACTTGACGAATCAGGTACGGTCTATCGCAAAGGTCACGAAAGCTGTCGCGTTGGGCGACTTGTCGAAGCAAATCGAGGTCGACGCGCGCGGCGAAATACTGGAACTGAAAAACACGGTCAACGGCATGGTCGTCCGGCTACGGACATTAGCGGCAGAGGTCACTCGGGTCACGTTGGAAGTCGGGTCAAAGGGTAAACTGGGAGGTCAGGTGCACGTACCGGACGTCGAGGGAGTGTGGTTGGAGCTGACACGGAACGTGAGTGGGCTGTTCTGTCCTGCCCCAACACGCACAGAGTCTGACGCCGCATGCAGGTCAATCGAATGTGTTCTAGCTTGACGGACCAGGTACGGTCGATTGCCAAGGTCACCACGGCGGTCGCCAAGGGCGACTTGACGCAGAAGATCGAAATCGAGGTCGAGGGTGAGATGCTGACCTTGAAGCGTACCGTCAACTCCATGGTGGACCAGTTGAGCGCGTTCGCGTCCGAGGTCACCCGTGTCGCTCTGGAGGTCGGTACCCAAGGTATCTTGGGAGGTCAAGCTAGGGTCGAAGGCGTTCAGGGTACATGGGCCGACTTGACGAGGAACGTCAACGTGAGTCGCTGCCTCCGCCGGGTCGGGCCCTTTGATGGGCGATCGTGTCCTGTGTGCGGACCTGACTGATGCATCCGCAGAAAATGGCGACCAATCTGACGGATCAAGTGCGCTCGATCTCTGAGGTCACAAAGGCCGTCGCGAACGGAGACCTGAGCCGGACCGTCAACGTCGATGTCCAGGGCGAGATGTTAGACCTGAAGACGACCGTCAACCAGATGGTGGCCCGGTTGTCCACCCTCGCCAGCGAAGTCACACGTGTGTCGTTGGAGGTCGGCACGGAGGGTATCATGGGCGGTCAGGCGTATGTGCCCGATGTCCAGGGCATGTGGAAGGTGGCTATTCACGGCGTGCGCCTGCGGACCCTGACGCTGATCCCGTCCAACAGGTCCTGTCGGACAACGTCAACTTGATGGCCATGAACTTGACGAACCAGGTGCGCTCCATCGCCGAGGTCACGAAGGCGGTCGCGGGCGGAGACTTGACGAAGCGCATCACCGTCGACGTGCGCGGCGAGATGCTGGATTTGAAGAAGACGGTCAACGGCATGACGGAGAGTTTGAGCGTCTTTGCCGATGAGGTCACTCGAGTGGCGAAGGAAGTCGGCACGGAGGGCAAATTGGGCGGTCAGGCTCGTGTCACTGGCGTCGGCGGCACATGGAAGGTCGGTCTTCTCATGAGATCTATTGGCGCCAGGCTCAACGATAGGGCACAGGACTTGACGGACAACGTCAACGTTATGGCGGCTAATGTAAGCGTTTCGCCTGGATCGGGAAGAGCTCGCGCTGACAGGGTATCCAGTTGACGTTACAAGTGCGAACCATCGCAGTGGCAACGGTATGGACGCAACGCAGCGCTGGATTGGTGCATTCGTGCTGATCGTTTTGCTGCAGCGCGCGGTCGCTCGAGGTGACTTGACGAGGAAAGTCACGGGTGTCTCGGTCTCTGGAGAGATGCTTGACTTGGTGAACACCATCAACTCTATGATCGACCAATTGGCCATCTTTGCTGCGGAAGTCAAGAAAGTGGCTAGGGAAGTCGGAACCGAGGGCAAACTGGGGGGTCAAGCTGAGGTTGGGAACGTCGAGGGTATCTGGCAGGACATCACGTACGTGTGTTCACGCGCTGCTTTGTGTCGGTGCTTACTTTGTGCCACGCAGGATGTCCGTGAACACCATGGCGAGCAATTTGACGACCCAGGTCCGTGGCTTTGCGCAGATCTCGGCCGCAGCCATGGACGGGGACTTTAGTCGGTTCATCACCGTGGAGGCCAGTGGCGAAATGGACTCTTTGAAGACCCAGATCAACCAGATGGTGTTCAACTTGCGAGACAGTATACAGAAGAACACCGCCGCTAGGGAGGCTGCCGAATTGGCGAACAGGAGCAAGTCCGAGTTCTTGGCCAACATGTCTCACGAGATCAGGTTCGTGCCCTGCTTGATCGTGGCCTTGGGCGGGGACGCTGACGTCTCACTCAAGGACGCCCATGAACGGTATCATTGGTATGACGGAGCTCACGCTCGACAGCGACTTGAATCGCTCGCAGCGCGAGAGCTTGTTGTTAGTCCACAGCCTGGCCCGTTCGTTATTATTGATCATCGATGATATTTTGGATATCTCGAAGAGTGGGTGTCACGTCGTAGTTTGGACGTCCGTCTGCTGACAGTGTCTGTAGTCGAGGCCGGTCGTATGACCATGGAGCAGGTGTCGTATTCCTTGCGCCAGACCGTGTTTGGGATCCTGAAGACATTGGTGGTCCGAGCATCCCAGAATCAGCTGGACCTTACGTACGACGTCGATCCGGAGATCCCAGACCAGCTTATCGGCGATTCTCTCCGTTTAAGACAGGTCATCACGAACCTGGTCGGCAACGCTATCAAATTCACGCCGTCGAAGGTGTCTCGGAAGGGCCACGTCGCGTTGAGCTGCAGGCTGCTCGCGATGGACGACATGAACGTCACCCTCGAGTTTTGCGTCTCGGACACGGGTATCGGTATTGCGAAGGACAAGCTGACCATGATCTTCGACACGTTCTGTCAGGCGGACGGCTCGACGACACGAGTGAGTGGTTGGCTTGGTATCTTGTTATGCAAGGGGAATGCTCATGGGTTTCTTGCGACAGGAATACGGTGGTACCGGTCTTGGATTATCGATCTCCAAGCGCCTTGTCACCCTGATGCAAGGCAACATGTGGGTCGAGTCGGAGGTCAGCAACGGCTCGAAGTTCTTCTTCACCATCACCTCCCAGATCAGCCCCATGTCGATGGAGGCGACGCTTGGCAAGATGCAGCCGTTCGCGAAACGCAACATCTTGTTCGTCGACACGCTGCACGACCAAACTGGGGTGGTGCAGCGAATCCTGGAGCTCGGCTTACGGCCCTACGTCGTACACGACGTCTGCGAAGTCGCCGACAAGGCGACGTGCCCGCACATTGACACCATCGTTGTGGACTCGCTCATGGTGGTAGGTGTCCCTCCCGAGAAGTCGGCATAGCGTCATGCTCAACTGTATTTGCCATGTCAGACGGAGAGCTTGAGAGAATACGAGCACCTGCGATATATTCCTGTCGTGCTCCTTACTCCGGTACGCCCCAGAGTATATCGATGGCGTCGGGCTGGGGCTTACGTTTGTATTGCAGCAATCCGCGCCTAGGCTGAACCGTACGTCATCTGACGGTCGCTTGACCCTTCAGCTAATGTGTATATAGTGAAATGGTGCCTAGACAACAGCATCTCCTCACAAGTCACTACCCCCGTCTCCGCACAAGACCTGGCGTCGGCTCTCATCTCCGCATTAGAATCGAACACGGTGACGCCAGTCGTCGCCGAGAACGACGTGCCGTACGATATCCTCATCGCGGAAGACAACCTCGTCAACCAGAAGCTGGCGGTGAAGATTTTGGAGAAGTATGGACACCAGGTCGAGATTGCGGAGAACGGGCAGCTGGCCGTGGACGCGTTCAAGGCGCGCATACAGAGGAACAGGCCGTTCGACATCATCCTCGTGGGTCGTCCCGTGCCCTCGTCGTGTCTGCATCCTCTGACATTTATCGCACAGATGGACGTGTCGATGCCGTTCATGGGCGGTATGGAGGCTACAGAGCACATCCGCGCGTATGAGACGTCGCACGGGCTGGACCCTGTGCCCATCATTGCGTTAACAGCACATGCCAGTGCGTGCCGTTCGTTTCTTGCTCGTTTGTCAAGTGCTGACTAGGGGCAACAGTGATTGGCGACAGAGAAAGATGTTTGCAAGCCGGAATGGTACGTGCTCCTTGCTGTCTACGACGGTGGTTCATTCGCTCATTGGCCGTCTCGTATTCAGGATGACCACATCACGAGTACGTTTTGTCCGTCCCCCGCATTGTGTTTGCTGCTTATCGTGGATTTGCCATTCAGAACCATTAAGGCGGAACGACCTCATCAATGCCATCAACAAGCTTGCAGGCGAGCGCAAGGCGCACATGGCACGGAACAGGGTACACCACCGATCAGCTCTGCCCATCGCTGCGATGCTCCGGGAGTGGCGGTGATAGGCAGCTGTCATATTCGCCCTTGATTCACCCTTTTTTTTTCCCCCTCATGTTCGCACTTCTTGTATTCCCCTTTGCATAGTCCCATCCGGCTCGCACATCAGGCTTGTCCATATTTCGCACATTGACCTGTATATCACGATATATGTTAGCTGATGCCCTATATGTTCTCCGTCAAGCTGTGTAATTGTTGTATCTCATTATTGCTTTCCCTCTCCTTCGTCTCGCCGTCGCAGCCGTGGGCTGTGTTAGTTATGTCGACCAAATACGCGCATTGTTTAGTGAGGTTATACACGAATACATTTGTCTGTCGCGATGAACGAACGAGGTACCTGAGCTGAGTGGTTGGCGCCCACTGGCGCTGCCAGCTTGTGTTTGACGTCGAAAAGGGCCACTCGTGCGTCTGACTTCTCGTTATAACGGCGCCTGAACCACTCGTCTCTTGTCCTGCATCTTGCATGTCCCACTGCTTTCACCGGCTGAGCACTACCCTAATGCGTACTCAATCTGTGGCTCTTGGCTACTACATCGTCGCGATTGCCTTGCTCCTGGCTCTCAGCGCGGTCGCTGGAGCTCAGCTTGCTGGGCCAGTCGAGGACTTTTTCGCGCAACATGGGGGATCCGCGTCGGCGTCGGCGCACACAAACAACTGGGCCGTCCTGGTCTGTGCCTCCAGGTACTGGTTCAACTACCGCGTGAGTGTCTCGCATCCCCGGGGTGCGCGGGCGGAGGGGCTGATGCGGGGCTAGCACATGGCGAACGCGCTGGGGATGTATCGCACCGTCAAGCGGCTCGGGATACCGGACTCGAACATCATCCTCATGCTCGCCGACGACGCGGCGTGCAACGCGCGCAACAAGTTTCCCGGGTGCGTGTATGCGAACCAGGGCCGCCACCTGGACCTGTACGGGGACAACATCGAGGTGGACTACCGCGGCTACGAGGTGACCGTCGAGAACTTCCTCCGGGTGCTGACGGGTGCGTGCTCCCGGGCCTCGAGGTGCGCCCGCGGCTGACGAGTTCGTGTGTTGGCCAGGACGCATGGACGCCTCCGTCCCCCGCTCGAAGCGGCTCCTGACCGACGACCGGTCCAACGTGTTCGTGTACATGACCGGGCACGGCGGCAACGAGTTCCTCAAATTCCAGGACAACGAGGAGATCAGCGCGTTCGACATCGCGGACGCGCTCGAGCAGATGTGGCAGAAGCGGCGGTACCACGAGATACTCTTCATGGTCGACACCTGCCAGGCGAACACCATGTTTTCCAAGTTCTACTCGCCCAACGTCCTCGCCACCGGGTCGTCCGAGCTGGGCGAGAGCTCGTACTCGGTGCGTGCACATGGCGTGTGCCGTTCGCTCCGCTTATTGACGCGTGTGCGCGCAGCACGAGAACGACTACGACATCGGTGTGGCGGTCATCGACAAGTTCACGCACTACATCTTGCAGTTCATGGAGGGCATCAACAAGACGAGCCAGGCCTCGATGCAGGACCTCGTACGTCCCTCCACTCTCGTGCTGCTCTCCGGCTTTGTGTGATGACGGCCCGTGTGTAGTTCAACACCTACGACTACAAGAAGTTCGAGTCGCATGCCGGCGTGCGCGCTGATTTGTTTCGTCGGCCGCTTGATCGGACGCTCGTCACCGACTTTTTCGGGGGGGTCGCGCAGGCCGAGATTCTGCCCTTTCCGCCGGACGAGTCGGGTCCAGAACGTTCTCCGGAACCCAAGGGGGCCCTGGGCCATGACGAGCATGCCGTGGGCGTAGTGTCTCCAGCTAGGAGCTCTAACTTCAATGACACGGTTCTTTCTGGAGACGCTCGTGCGCTTCAACAGCGCCAATTCGACACCCTGATCGCTGCTGCTGCTGTCGGACACCCGGACGCATGGGCGGATGCCACGAGGAAATTGCGCGCGTGGGCGTCGACGTTTCTCGTCTTGGTGCTGGTAGGATGGGTCGGCATGCGGGGCAAATAACGGCTCGGTGATCTCCCTACGCTGGTTTGCAAGACAGGACGTATGCCGGGAGTTCCTCCTTCCCGACATCGGTCTGCCGCCTATAGCGTCCCCCTTTCCCCCGGGTTGTTACTGTCTGAATCACTCTCCGTACGGTGTAGGGTCGACGGCCACGCTCTGGCATCTGGCGTCGATGCCATCCCCTGACGACTTCATACGTAGGTTCATACGCGGATGTGCCCATCTGGTACCCAGGATTGCCTCACTATTCAAGCTCGGCAGGGAGTATGCCCCACGATCACACCGCCTGCAGTTGCACATGTTGGAAGTCTCTACTATATACGTGCCCGTGATATACATTTTCGTTGAGTCAAGTACGCGAACGTGATGGTCACAAGTCGATCCTCTTTCCTTCCTCTGCACTCCGTTCGATGGCGGCCAGCAGCGTCTTGTTCGCCACTGCATCGTCGAGTGTCGCATAACTGCCGCTCGGGCCCTTGGCGAATTCCGCCCATGCCCTGGCGGGGTTCGTCAGGCCGTCCTGCTCCGGGACAACCTCCTCGCCATTCAAGTAGAGCTTCGGCTCGATGATGTGGATGTAGGGCAGGTCGCCCTGGATGCGGATGGAGCCCTTCTCCCCGTCGATGGTCCACACGAAGGGGAGGTCGGGCTTGGGCGTGGCCGGCAGGCCTCCGCGCCAGTGCATGGACACGACGGTGCCGCGCTTGAGCGTGCCGGCAAAGGCGACCTGGTTGGAGCTCGTCTGGGCGACCTGCTTGCTGATGGGCTTGCCGGCCGGGTCGACGAGCTCCGCGGTGGGGAACTGGTTCACGATGGTGGCGCTGACGGAGGCGAAGGGCCCGAGCGTGTAGGTGAACAGGTCGAGGAAGTGGCCGACGCTGACGGCTAGGAACGACGCGCCCTCGGCGGCGTCGGCGGTGTACTGGGTGCGCTCGGCGACGTGGGGGCCCCACGCGAAGAGCGGCTCGCAAGGGCAGCGGGCCATCTGTGGGCGCCGCTCAGCGTGGGTCGTGAGATCGCGCGTGCAAGGCGAGACGCACCACTGAGGTCGAGAGCACGGCGCCGATCTCGCCTGATTCGATGATGGACTTGACCTGCGCGGTTGGTTGCAGCGGTGAGCGTGTGTGCCGCTGCCCCCGTGGATGGACACACCTTGTTGACGACGGGGCTCTGTCTTCCCTGCATGCCGACCATGGCCCTGATCCCCTGCTTCTTCGCCGCCGCGGCCAGCTCGCTCGTCTCCTTCAGGCCGCGCCCTGCGGGCCACTCGACGAAGAGCGACTTGCCGGCGTCGATGACGGGCATCGCGAGCTCCTTGTGGATGGGGGTCCTGACCACGACGGCGACCATGTCGACGTCCGGATCGGCGGCGATGGCGCTGGCCGGTCCGCTGTACGCCTTGACGGCGCCCTGTGCGAGTTTCGAGTACTTTTCCGCGCT